CCACGCTCTCCTTTCGAATCCTCTTCATGCAGCAGTGCGTCACATGGTGGAGACAGACTTGCAGAAAGTAGTAGGCGAGGAAACGCCAAAGAAGAGAGCGTTGATCCGCTTGGAGGAAGCGAAAGGCAAGGGAGTTTTGTCGTGGTTGACAACGCAAGGGTTGTCAGCAGATGAATGCTGCCTGATCTATATATATCGAGAGTCAATCGGTCGTGTACTGGGGAGTCACGATCGAGCAGACTGCAACACAGGCAAACTTTGTGGTGCAGGTGCATTGTTACCATGCAAGGACCGCTTGAGCCGAGCCCACTCCCTCGTCTGCACCAAGACCGGCGCCTCAACCTTCCTCCATAACAGGATGGTTCGAGTAGTCCTCAAGACACTGCGCGAGTGTCATATGCCCGTCGCCGTTGAGGATTCTTCCCCTTTTACCACGGGCACTGGTAGGGGAAAAGGGCTAAACAAGATGAATTTGGTAATCCCCCCAGGATTACACGCAGGAGAGAAGGAAGAGGACCTCTGCACCAAGTCCATTCTGATCGACGTAACAATCGTCAACCCATCAGCAGGTCGAAGCATCGACAAGTCGATCCTTAAGCCAGGATCAGCCCTCGAAGATCGAGCTGCAAGTAAGGCAAATCACTATGCGGGAACTTTCAACCCGTCTAGATCTACCCTCCTTACTGCTGCTTTTTCAACGAATGGTGGTCTTGGCAAAGGCACCAATCGACTCATCGTTGCTATCGCCAACCACTTGGCGCACGAAGCTTTTTGCCGGGAAAATTTTGAAGACGAAAGAGCGTTAGTTCGCCTGAAAGCTTTTCATACTAACAGGATTCGGAGACGGTTTACCTTCGAGCTAGCTCGTTTTCTGTCGATGCGAACTCGCGATGTGTTCAAACGTCATGGGCTACTGATCGACCAACTTCCACCAGGGCCAATCGGTTGGGATCTCTGCGACAACGATAGTAGTGAGGGTAATTCTTTTGGGAGTGACGAAGACGAAGGAAAGGGAAAGGGGAGAAAGGAGGATGACGACGATGGAGCAGAAAAACATGGAGGAGTGGAAGAGAGCAAAGGGTTTGAGCCAGATGACCTTCCCCACAACAAGAAACGTAGGGCTAGGGAAGAACTGCCCAGAGATTCTTCTTGTCGAAATGAGGATCAGAATGATGGTAGCGAAAACAAGGAGGACACTGGTGAAAGTACTCCTAAACGAACTCGAGTACTAGGTAATAGCCTTGGTAGACGCGTGCATTTTTCGTCTGTTGCTGCTGTTTCTGTTTTTAATCCGAAGGATAGTTTAGCCTCCCCCATGCTGCCCCCTCACGGGGTCCCAGTTCATGGTAGATAGAAGTGTTTTGTGTTTTCAACCGCACTAAGACTGACGTCTTTTCATTGGTCAGCCGGTTAGCGCGGTCGATGCTAATAATAAAACGCATACATTCCCTAGAGGAAGCGAACTTTATTCAGCTACAAAGTATTACTTGGGTAAATAAGTACAACGTCTCGCTGAAGGGGTGTGGGGAACGCATGGATGCATGGATGGATGGATGGGAGAGGGGGAAGAGAGAAGAGAGAAATGATGTTTTGCTTTAACTTGTTGTATCTTTCTCAAGTTTTATTACTCGACATGCTCACTCACTCACTCCCCTCCCCCCCCGTAACCCCTCGTGTTTTACGAATAATTGTAGAAGAGTGCCCAGCGGGTTGCTCCTCCTCTGTTCTTATTGGGGCGTTTCTTCTATTTATTGTGTGGCCCAGGTTGACCTATTTATTGTTTTCCTATTCTTGTCGTGGAAAGTGAGCTTGCCTTCGTTAAATCAAATTTAGTCTATTTCTTACTCCGAGAAAATGAATAAATACTCTTTGTCCTCCGGCTGTCGCATAGTAACGTATGAATTTATACTTTGTGCGTCTCTGCTCTTCGAACAATCGATTTTCCTCTTCGCAGCATGTCTTCTTCACATCTCTCATTTCAAAACTCCACCCGCACACACTTACTTGCCACCGCAATTTAACCTACGAGCGTAGCGGCGACCGAGAAGCGGTACGCCGCGAAGGCAGCAGCACTCTTTTTTTGGAGAGCGGCTACAGGGACCTGCTCCGCATCCCACCAACACACACCAACACACGAACTTGTGTGCATGCCGTCATCTGACTCCCAAAACTCTGGCAGTTGTCGGGGTAAGAGATGCTTTTCATACTGTTGTGTGTGTTCTTCAACTTTAGATCCTTCAGACGTCATCTCATAACTCACAGACCATGTGTGCCGGCGTGCCGCTGTTGTCGGGGTAAGATATGCTTCAGACTGTTGTTGTGTTTTTGTTGACTTCCCGCTGTCGCGCGTCACCTCCGCTCCTACCGCTGGTATTTTCGTTCACTCCTCAATCATGTAATTAATTGATGTTCCCCTCAATACCTCGAGGAACACCCTCAACCACGCTCTTTTGCGCAGAATTTTTCGCCTCATCTCCAAACTCCACACGCACACACTTGCCACCGCCATGCAACCTACGAGCGTAGCGGCGACCGCGATGGGCACGCCGCGAAGCGCCCTTGAACACCCGACAAATCCTCCCCACACCGACGGGCCAAAAGCCCAAGCACGTTGCATCCTGCTCAAGCCAGTTCACGAGACGATACATACGCTGCAGCGTGTTTCTTGCGGATTGGTCTGCTCACGTCATTCTATCGGTGGTTACAATTGCCGCCTCGGGCGATCATACACATTGACATGTAGCGCGGTGGTTTGCTGTGTTTTACGGCAAAAGTGGGTACACCCATGCCTGTTTCAGACAAAAGCGGAAATAAGTCCAGGTCTCGCAACTTCTTATCATCTCTCGCCATTTGTCCTTTCAAGAGCACAAACCAACGCCAAGCTACCCCTTGACAGCGGCAAGTGGTTACGACCGTTCTCCCCGCACCACACAACGCCCCCCGCACAAAGAGACAAATCACCCCTCCAACGTTTGACGCTCAATACTTGTGCAGTGCTGCGTAGAAACTCAACGCTTCTTCTTTCCGAACACCGATGCCACCGCTTTCTTCCTGACCTCCGTACTGCAAGCCTCCTCCTCCTCCTCCTCCTCGGTCTTGCCCTTCCCGAGACCAAGCTTGGAGAACTGCGCCTGTGCGCCCCTGCGCGTGTGCTTGCCCAGCCGGTCCGCCCGCTCCTTGGCTCGCCGGGTGGCCCGCGCCGCGGCGGCGGCCTCGACCCTCGCCTCCGCGTTGGCGATGTCTCGCAGGAGGGACCTGCGGTAGTGCTCGAAGCCGTGACGGTGAACGTTCACCTGTGTGGTGGTGTGGTGGTGTGTCGTTGAAATATAAAAAAAAAAATACGGTTGTGTTGATTAGATCAGACACGTTATTCAAGCAAAATTCTGAAAATAAAGGTGCTCGTCAATAATTCATTTGGATGTTGCATGATCTACTTGGGTTTGGGTAGAGAATAGTACGGTTGTGGGGGTGCGGCCGGTAGAAGGTGGGGGGTGTGAAGTCTTTCTTGATTGTCATACCGCATTATGTCAATAAGAAATAAATTCTCAAGAAAAAGTGGCGATAAGTCTCACACACGCTCCGAAGAGCTGGAGCGATTCGTTGATTTTGAAGAGGACTCCACAGCGAACAAGGGCCAGAGCCAGCAAGCGTTTCAACAGTAATACTCGTACAAGCATTTCAACATTAATACTCGTGCAAGCGTTTCAACAGTAATACTCGTACAAAAAACACTAAAGAAAACAAATCGAGGACAACCTAAACGTCGTTGCAATCATACTAGCAGGCCGGTATGTGCGACCTCAAGGCGTCGCAAGACTGCTCCCGTCGAAGAGACCCCTTCCGGGAAGGGTTAGTTCCTTCTGGCGGCTGAAGACCTTCTCCACAACCATCCCTTCGTCATCATCCACGGAAGAGGGAACAACAGCCACTCCCAGGGGGGGGGCACGCGGGTGGTGTCATGGCTGTGCTCTCACAAATATAACAACGTGGTAAATATTATACTTGGAAATATCAGCACAGAGAGAGGGCTGTGGGCGGGCCTACACGGCTCTTTGTGTTCTCTTCTCTTCTCTTCTCTTCTCTTCTCAGTATACATTATTTCCCATCAATACTTTTCGTTCTCTTCTCTTCTCACCCGCCCGCCGCCTTCGCACACCCAAAGCTCGCACTCTGTGGCGGCGATGAGCCTCGCGTCGTGGGAGACGAGGACGACCCCGCCCTTGTACTCCTGGATGCCCCTGATCAGCGCGTCCACGCTCTCCATGTCGCTGCGAGAAAAATTTCGTCGGGCGTGTGTGTGTTCCTATTATAAGCATCGACCGCGCTAACCGGCTGACCAATGAAAAGACGTCAGTCTCAGTGCGGTTGAAAACATATGTGTGTGTTTTCTTTTTAAGCATCGGCAGCGCTGACCGAGTGACGAATTAAGAGAGGTCACTCTTGTAAAGGGATAAAACACTTTCTAATCAAAGGCAAAGTGGGGGTTCTACCGAAAGGAAGACGCAGGTGTGTATGAGTGTGATGTATGTGTTTTCTTGACTATTTAGCATCGACCGCGCTAGCCGGCTAACCAATGAAAAATACATCAGTCTCTATGAGGCTGGACAACAGAGAGCGCTTCAAAAGGGCCATGATCTGGGACGCTGCGAAGTAGCGTCATGGGAAAGGCTAGGCCATTCTCCAGAAAAAGACAGAGACGCATCTACCGAGGCTTCCCTACCTTTTGCCTCGTGTTCGTTTTGGCTGTGGGTATGTGGGAGGAACGGAGCGATGCTATGGGGGGGGCAGCGGCGGCGGCACGCGGAGTGATCAGCACTGGTTCACATGGCCATGCAACCGCCCGTCGAAGGAATTCGACCCGCATTCCGTGTGTCGACGAACCTGCTTCTTGGCTTCTTGGAGAGTTGTTTCGTTTCACCGCTATCGCCTTGGGGGGCAAGCCTCAATCAGACCTTACGGCTGCAGTGGTGACGAATTTCGTAGCTTGTTCCGACACTGGTTGATTGGCTTCTTTGCTTCCTTTTAAGGCCGCCCGGGGGGCTCACACCTCAGCCGAACATGTACGTGTTTTTCAAGCTTTCAAGATGAAATTTCCCACTCGGTAGACAAAGGGGATGGGGGATCGCGACGCCCCTGCCCATTCAACAGCTTCCTTTCGAACGGAATCGCACCGCACACACACATTTCATACGCATAGACGTTGTGCGACTTGAGTCGACACGGGGAACTGCAAACCCTGCGAAATTGATAATAAAACAGCGAGTGAGAGTGTTCATAGCTCCTCTCTTCCAACAGGCGCCTCTCTCCCCTTTGTGTTCAATCTACGAAATCTACGAACACAGACGGCAAGGCAACGGCAAGCACCGCTGTTCCAAGAGACCAATAAAAAAAGCGAGTCTATCACGAGCCTTCAGGGATTGCTACGCGTATAAACCTCACAGCACACACACGTATGGGTGTGTGTTACGTCGGGACAACTGTTTTTGTGTTCAAGGCCTAGTCTAAGACAAACCAGGAAAGGGTCTCGGAACAACCATGAGATGCGGTAAGAACTCACAGGTGATTGGTGGGCTCGTCGAGGAGCAGGATGTGCGGCTGAGACATGGACAGCGACGCGAACACCACCCTCGCTTTCTGCCCTCCCGACAGCTCGGCGATAGGGATCAGGTGTCTCGCGCCATCAAGCCCGAACTGCCCCAGCACCTGAAAGCACACACGAAACAAGCGTTCGTGTGTGTGTACGTATCGGTGTGTGTGTTTCTTTGACTAGCATCGACCGCGCTAACCGGCTGACCAATCAAAAGACGTCAGTGTGTGTGTGTGTGTCTGTCTGTGTGTGTGATTTCAACTTTTTGTTCAGCGAGCGACGACACATGACTAGGAACGAAGCAGACCAGACGACTTAAACGTACCCATCACAACCACGGATTTGCGGGAAGTGAATCAACAGCACAACAACAACAACAACAACAACAACAACAACAACAACAACAACAACAACAACAACAATAACAACAACAACAACAACAACAACAACAACAACAACAAACAACAACAACCCCCCCCCAGGATGCAGCGCACCCTTCATGCGACTCGCCGAACACCTCACGGCGCTTCGCGCTTGGTGATGTGAGAGCCTGGTCCGGTGAGAACCCGGCGTGCTCCGTCCCGGCTTCGTAGGGACGAGAGGTCAATGATCTACCGACTACGGCATGCACGACTATGAGCCCCCCCCCCCCTCCCCCCCCCATCATCACCACCACCAACGACACCTTTCTGGCCTGCTGCTCGGGGACGTCGTACTCCGACCTCAGGAAGTCGCACGGGCTCTTGCCCTGGGGCAGCAGCTCGTGGAAGTGCTGGTCGTAACGGCCTATCCTGAGGTGACGATGTCGAGTCACCTCCCCAGACGAAGGCTCCAGCTTTCCCGACAAGAGGTTCAGCAGAGTTGATTTTCCTGGTAGCGGGGGGGGGGGGGGGCACGCGTATGTTGTGTTGTATTTCATGGTTGGCGTCGAGGAACATCAGATCACTCAAGGCGGGAGGGGATATCTCATCATTCGCAGCCTCCGCCAGAACATATACAAGCTTCGCCGATGACCCCGCGTCCTGCAAAAAACGGCAGTACTGCTGTAACCGTTCGTCCCTGCAAAATCCATGATAGTCGAGGCGACAGGCCTTGAGGAAGCTATGCATAGCTTACTTCACGTTTCGACGCGGTTTTTCACAGTCCGTTGGCGTTCTGCCGATTCCTTCGTTGCTGCAAACCCTCGCCCAACTAGTTGTTGCGGCCGCGATCCTACTTCTCAACTTCTCCACTGGATAGTGGCTTGTCTCTTCGTCGCAACCTAGTGCCTCAAGTAGGTAAGGGTGGGGGTCCTCTTGTGATGCCTGTCTTTTTATCCGAACCCTTAACCAGGAGTCCCAGTCGAGACAGAGTGGTACAGCAGTATCGGTGCTCCTCTTGCATTAGATGCACCGTTCGAGTCCTGCGCTGGGCCCGATTTCTATCGCAGGCAGCAGAGTCCCGAGGAGTGTGTGCCTTACGCTGAAGGTGAAAAAAAAAAAAACACCAGAGCTGGTAGAGCTTTCAACAAATGCCAATAAATGTACCTGTTGATTTGGTTGCATCTTGGTTTTCGAGGAAAACGCATGCCGGCTACACAACAGCGACAGCTCACTCAACATTCGCAACGAGGCCAGGGTCAAAACAAAGGGCTTGGAGCAGCAGCAGCAGTTACTCACCGACACCGTTAGGCCCAACGATAGCCACTCTTGTATCCGTATCGACCTTGAATCGAAGATCCTGACACACCGAGCCACGGAAAGCGGGAGTCGGAAAGGAACCGATATCAAGACGCGATGAAACGACAACGACTCCGACCAAGCAGCACCAGCAGCCAACAATATAATCGAGTTGGTGCACCAGAGTACAGAACGCGCCTCCACTTCTTAAGAACTAGTAACGAACGTCTCCTCCTTTTTTCCCCCTGAGGCCCGTTTCTTTATACTTTCTGCGGGGCCACCAACCATCGGCACTTGTATGTAGGTTTCAATGTATAATGTGGGAAGCTTAAACTGAACACCTGTTCTTACGGTCAAGTAAAGACATAAGGAGCGCCCAACTGGGAACGGTCAAGTCAACCACCACGCACAGGCACACTGCACCAGCAGCCAGAGCATGACGCGGCAAGGGCCATAGAGTGCGGGAGGCCCTCAACGTCAGCAACTAACAACAACAACATCATCCCGGCACTAACACCACCAACAAGAACCTCACCTGGAAGAGGGCGGCGCGGTCGTCTCTGTAGCCGAAGGACACGTCCAGTACCGATATCGAAGGCACCCGGTCCTCGGGCGACGAAAGCATGAACTGCGTGCAGCACACAGGGAGGGGACATGGCATCGCGGGTAGGTGCCTTTTTTGTCAGGGAGTACGGAACACACCGTGGGGAAAGAAGACGAGGCAAGGTGTTATTATAGTAACAGCTGCCTGCAGAACAACCTATTTCAGCGCTCGTATGTACTTTCGGCCACTTGAATGTTTCGAGCGGCCGTTCGAAAAGGAGGGCCGAGAGATCCGAAACTACTTGCTGCATTCCCCACGACGACCAAAAATGGTGCTCTTGCCAGCTTCCTATTTTCAGTTGATGTTCATGTTCCTACTCAGAGTATATGAACACAGCTATTCCACTCCCGGAGGATGCGGGGGGATAAAATTAACGTACTTCTAGCACAAACAAACGAACGCACACATTGACAACTTCGACACGTATTGGTATCTAGCAAATACCTTGACCGTGTACTCCTTTGGCCTGTCCATGAGGCTGGTTCGGCCCATCTTCTTCAAGACCGCCTCTTCCGCCTTCGACCCGGAGTTGCCCTGCAAAACAACAAGTCATGGTCGTGGTGTAACGGTAACTATTGTTCAACGGTTTTTCACTGCACCAATTTTTGTTGGCAAACAAACAAACAGGAGTCGGAAGCAGTACTTAAACCTGACTTGCCGTTGTTGTGCCTACTGCCACCGTCACAGCATTCACAGGATCTTCCCCCACGACGGACCATAGACGACAACCACAAGAGCAAAACGCGGTAAAAAACCATCACACACCTTGACACCATCCATGTCATTCCAGGCCGGTCACCGCGTACTTACCGTAACCCAAATAGGGTCGGTCGTCAAATGCACTAATAACCACCAATGTCATGCCGTTGCTCAGATTCTACATGGTGACATTGTCAATTTTCATCAGGTAGCGCAAGTCTTGTTCCTCGCCATGTGTTTTTCCCTGTCACATGACCATGGTGTGGCGTGGTCGTTTCCGTTATCTCTTGCTCTGCATCTCCCCTGTTTTTTCGTCCACCAACCAATCTATCTTAGGTCATCTGGTGGTACCTTTCTCTTCAGGGCGGCGATCTCCTTCTCCTGCAGCTTGTAGTCTTTCTCCGCTTTCACGTTCACCTGCAACGATACGACCACGGAGAGGGCAGATTACAAACAATAATACTCGTAAATATAATACCAGTATATATCACCAACGAATCAATTCCGAGAAAGTACGTATCACCAGAGCGGCATGACAACGACCAGAATAACACCGTCGTGTGTAAGCGATTCCGAGTAAATCTACATGGAGTGATCAATCTCTGAGGGTACAGATCCTTTCATAATTGTGTCACTGTACATACCCGCTCGTTCAAGGACGGCGAGGAAAAACAACACACACGAAACACGGCGATTCTCCAATCGAAAAACAACGTTAGTTACAAGGCATGACTGACTCTCCGGCCCCAAAGGCACCTATCCAACCGACACCAAAAACTCCGACACAGTCCAAGAAACCGTCCGTCCGTGCCCTGGCGAACACTTTTCATTTTTCCCACGAAAGGCACGGGGACATTGGTGTCGTGCGGGCGGGCGGGCAGGTCGCGGGGGGCACCGTGCATATCATCGACGAGGAGGTGGTTCCGGGGGGGCGGGGGGGGACAGCTGCATTCGGTCCGCCCGGAGTGCCGTCGTGCGGTCCGAAGATACCCTACCAACAAACAGCAGCCAATGGCTGGCAGTCATATTCGGAACTGTAAGAAACAAGACCGACGACGAAAACCGGTTGCAAACGAAATACCGTCTAGCTCCTCAACCGTCCGACGGCGTTCCGCGGGGCCCCTTTTTGCCCACGGCATTTTTGCCCCCCTCCCCCGGTGTTTGCCATCGGGATTGGGTTTTCGTCGCTTGGCAACGACGTTGTAAAACAAGCCAATTCACTTCGTGAGCTCGGCAAC